TTTTTTATTTCTATTTTTATAATCATTGTGACTGGAATCCCATAGTAGAGGATACGTTTCAATAGCCTGAATAATTTTTATAATTTTATCATTCGTCCAATCCATATTTTACTTTGTGAAACGGTGTGAGCGTACAAATAAATGCGTTTAGGCGATTCTGCCATACATATTATAGAAATCAAACATAGCTCACGTAGGACCCGTAATATTTGTGGCCGTGGTGCTTCCCTGTTTAAAAGGGTGTATGCCCATTTTACTTCATTTTGTCTCCCGCTTTGCTAAGGAGGGAAGTGGATTTACTGTATTTCCAACTCCTCCAATTTTCTTCTGATTAATTTCGTTGCGGGTTCCAAGACAGTTTAATTTCTTCCTGGGACTTCCCGAGTGTCATAACTCGGTGTGTTCGTGGGTCACTGCTGTGGATCCTGGTGTACAGGAGTTACAGTGGTGGGCGTGTGGGTGGGATTAGTCCCAATGAAAAAAAAAAAACTGCTGTTATTAAGGTAGGATACCAGCAAAATAGTGTGCAGCACATTTGTTCACAAACATTCTGTGCAAAACTCCAGCTTAGTACGTACTAAGCTGGAGTTTTAATTATGTAGTCTGCTTAAAAAGAAACGAAGAAAGAAACCGCGATGTTGGGTGAGGGCGTTCCTACAACGACGCGATGAAGAAACGAATAGATTTGTAGAAGAAATAAAAATAGATCTATTGAGTGGATTAAAAAATTTCACTCGAATATCGTGCGAAGATTTTGAGTTGCTGGTTAATGCAGTTAGTCCTCTTATTGCTAAGCAAGATACCAGCTACAGAAAATGTGTCCCTGTTTCAATAAGGCTTGCAATTACCTTAAGATTTCTTGCTACTGGAGATTCTTTTGCAAGTTTAATGTATTTATTTAAAGTTTCAAAAGAGCTTATTGCTCGGATTGTACCTGAGGCCTGTAAGGGGTTGATAAGCGTGTTGAAATAAAAAATGAAATCACATATAATTTATTTACTTTTATTGCATTAAATATCATGCCAAGTTGCTGTCAAGCTGTCATTCTGGCGTAAAAGATCTGAGTAATCATTATCGCGGACCTCAAAAGTTGAAGCTGGTCCTTGACTCTGAGAATTCGACGAATCTGAATACGGTGAAGGCATTGGAGTCGTAGCATATTCCCAATACCAATAATAGCGTCATACAATAAATTATCAATATCCCTTTGCACTAAAATCTTCGTACGTTCATCTTTAATTTTCCTTAATTTCGTTGCGACAGCTGCAGCAAAAATATCGTCATCATCATGTTTTTTGTCTTCCATCTGCTTCTTTACTTTATCCATAATGTTCAAAGCATGGGCAATTCTCGGGTCTTCATCAACAGCACGACGTTTCAGCGAGTTCTTTGGAGCCTTAAACTTTTCGACTGGCATTTCATTAGGAGTTTCTTGATCTTCATTTATTGTGTGTTCCTGGATATCTTGTATTAGCTGAAATAATAATAACATTTCCTTTATCAGATGCCTAATACTTTAGAAGAATTGATGATTGTAGAGCGTCAATTTGAGCATCTTTGGAATTTCCCTAATTGCATTGGGGCTATGGATGGCAAACATGTTGTTATTCAAGCTCCAAATAATACTGGAAGTGACTTTTTTAATTACAAAGGTGATTTCAGCATTGTACTTTTAGCACTGGTTGATACAAATTATAAATTTACGTACGTAGATGTCGGTTGTAAAGGAAGAATATCAGATGGTGGTGTCTTCAAAAATACTGGTTTCTATGCTAATCTTCAGCAAGGAAAATTAAATTTGCCTCAATCTTATGCGCTATCCGGAAGAAACAAACCAATTCCACATTTGATTGTGGCAGATGATGCTTTTACATTAGATATGAATTTAATGAAACCATATCTCGGTCAACATGACAAAAGATCAAAAGAAAGAATTAATAATAATAATAATAATTAATTAATTAATTAATTATATTTTTATTTATCGGTTAAGCAGAGCGAGACGCATTGTGGAAAATGTATTCGGGATTTTGTCCGCTGTATTTCGCGTAGGAAACCTATTCTGTTAGCTCCAGAAAAGGCACAATTAATAACACTCACATGTTGTTACTTGCATAATTTTTTGATAACACAAAAGTCGTCTTCACAACTTTATACTTCGCTTCGCAGTTTTGATACTGAAAACCAAATTACTCACAATACTATCGATGGAACCTTAAGACATGTCGGAAGAAGACCCTCTGGCGATGCAAAAGACATAATAGACGAACTTGCATATTATTTCCAAACTGACATCGGAATGGTGCCATGGCAAGAAACACTAGCATAGTATATACTTATAAGTAATCTATACAAATAAATAAAATTGGAATGTCTGTTTGTAATATTAAAATAACCGCTTTTTACTAAATGCATATGTATGTATACACGGTACATTAGCCAAAATAACATTTTTTACTGTAAAAAATGTTATCTATACACATAAATAAAATTTGAGTGTCTGTTTGTAATATTAAAATAACCGCTATTTAATAAATGCATACCTATGTATGTACACGGTACATATGCCAAAATAACATTTTTTACAATTTTTGTCTGTCTGTCTGTTCCGGGTAATCTTTGGAACGGCTGGACCGATTTCGACGGGACTTTCACTGGCTGATAGCTGATGATATAAGGAGTAACTTAGGCTACTTTTTTTAGACTAGCTTCACCCCGCGGCGTTGCCCGCGGTTACAACAACAAACCGCGGGGCTCAGCTAGTAAAATATTAAGTTTAAAAATAAAAAAATATAAAACGTACATACTTGTTCGTTTATTTCGTCTTGTGAGTTCATGCTAGCGTTGGGCTCGTCCCTTCCGTGAAAGAAATTCAAATATGCATAACCAAACCATTTTGGCTTATATATATCTGAAATTCCAGAACCTGAAGATTTTGAATCCGCGATTTTCTTCTTTTCTCTTCGGTATTGAGCCAAAATAATCTTCCACTTCTCATTACCTCAGTCGAGTCACAACTGAAACTCTGAGCCAACTCTTGAGTGGGGTCGTGTTTTTTATTTCTATTTTTATAATCATTGTGACTGGAATCCCATAGTAGAGGATACGTTTCAATAGCCTGAATAATTTTTATAATTTTATCATTCGTCCAATCCATATTTTACTTTGTGAAACGGTGTGCGCGTACAAATAAATGTTTTCGCTCCGATAGTGGAAGCAAGACTGAGTTCGCGAACAACAGGTGTGTAAGCGTCGACGCGAGTCCACTGCCTGTATGTGTGCACGCACAAAAGTACACAGATGTGCGCGAACATTCTAGATATGTTCGCGTACAATTTGTTGTTGTTTGTTTGAGTGAGTCGACTAGAGTGAACATTTGTGTCGTACACTGTGCATAGCAGGGCCGCACAGTTCAGCACACTGGTGGAATCGCATCTTTAAGACATCCGGCTCCCTCTTAGCGCCTGCCCGCAAAGGCGCGGGCGCCACCTTCAGGTACATTCTCCATTTAGGAGACGTACGGCACACGCTGACATAGCCTCCCCGCCGAATGGCGGGTGGAGGAGAAAATCTATCCCGTCCACCCACGGGCCACACTCAGGGCGGCATGAGGCGGTGGTAAGCGCGCCTCCGCCGCCCGGTTCGCCGGCGACAGATTGGGTCCGAGTTGAGGTTGTCCTCTCGGGCCCACTCCGCCGCCTCCTTCTGCGAGATGACGTCTTCGCAGAAGGATGCGACCGCGGTAACACATCTGTCACTACGGGCCATGGAGCGTATGACGGCCGGTAACGAAAGATGACCCCGATGACTGCAATGAGGACCCATCGCGGTGGTGACAGGCGGGACTCAATTCCCTCCTAGCGACCGAGTGCAGGTACTTCGAAAAGCAGCCGTGCCCGGAAAGGACCGGCGTCAGCCGGAAGGAAAGGGTAAACAGTCTGGTTACCATAGCACAGGCTCTGCCTAGTTTGGGATTTGACGTGTGTCAGATGTATTAGTATTATTACTAAATTAGGTAGGTATGTATTGTTTTTATTTTTATTGTTACGTGTAGAGGGGCTCGTGGCTAAGTTGTAACAGCGTAGGTTGACACTTTGCAAAGTTAAGCACTCCTAACCAGGTCAGCCTATGGAGGGGTGAACATTCTTAACACATTGAGACCCCTCCGTGCCTCAGAGAACACGTTAAGCCTTCGTTCCCGTTTGCCATATGAATATCTGTTGCGATCGTTATGGGCAGTTAGGAGCCTTAAGAAGTCCAACAACAGTCTTTCTACAGAACTTCGATATCGATGTTGAATCGAAGTTCAGGCGTATCGTAGTAGACTTAAAGCCGACCCCAACCTAGTTTGGGAAAAGGCTCAGAGGAGAATACAGGTAGACCTTAGTACTGTCTGGTACGGTCTAGTTTCCGTTATCCAATAATATTAAGTATCCATCCATTAAATAATTTAAAAAATCTTCACAGAAGAAAATCGATCAAATAGTACGTAAAGTACTAGAAGATTTTTATGTGGAGAAAATTATTAATTCATCATCAGCCTATCGCAGTCCACTGCTGGATTTTCGACTTCTCGCGTCCAGCTATTGCGCAGATCGTCATTCCACCTGGCCTGTGAGTCTAGACGCGGTCTTTACTCAAGGGCTCGTTTACCCCAACGGATGTCGGTTCTGTGGCTAATGTATACCTACATTATTAATTATTTATTTCAATGTATTTATTTCCAAACAACCAACCCAGCACTAAAAGAATTAATGATGCAAAAATTTAAAGTACATTCAATGAGAAGGGTAAGCTATAGGTAGAGCAGATTAGGGTTGAATACCTGGATGGTGTCTGTGTGTTTTTGTCGAGGAGTCTAAGTCCTGTCATTTTATAAGGAAAAATGATCAGTACTTATAATTATCTATTTATATGTATAAAAAGTTTGAAAAAGTCTGAAAATACACAATTGGACAAATAGGGTTTAAGAAAACTAAAGTCGATTTCTAAGTGACTTGTTAATATGATGAGCCTTTGTGCTCTGGTAATAAGAAATAAATTGTGACAGGTCCCTTCGAAGTGTGCACTATTTCCTTATGCCTAATTAATTGAGTTGCTGCTAGTCCATACAGGAAACAGGGAATACCTGTAAAAAAGTACATTAAAATATATATAATTTTGGATATAAATATATTTATAAAAAAAACAAATGTATCTTAGATGTCGAAAATTTAAGGATCTTAAATAAAAACCTAAACCAGATGTTATGTTTAGTTAGCTTAGTAGTTCTATGGTTTTACTTTCTACTAGCTACTTCATTAGAAAACATAGAGCAAGTTCAAAGGGAGAAGGAGAACTTGGAACAAAACCCTGTACCATTGGTACAGGTCTGGCCAGCGTGGCATTGTAGGCCAAAACCTCCTTTCTTAAGAGATGCCTCTGTCCAGCTGTGGATTACTAAAGGCTGTTGATGTAGTTTAATAAAAGTAATTAGTCTGCAATAAGAAATTTATTTTGTTTGTCTATCAGAGGATTGTAATAGTAATAACCTTAGTTGTTGTAGGACATATAGACAATCTATACACTATTCCATTTTTAGAAACTCTGTTATAGTGAACTATAAAACTAACATCACAATCATAAATACAAATTGTGACCTTGGCAAAAAAACAAAATGCACATACAATTTATGTGATGTGTAAATTGCTTTGCTACTTTCAATAGAATAATAACTGTCAAGAGTGGATCACACACTTTTGGAAACCCTTTCTAGATAGTTGTATAGCTTCTATAGAGTAACTTTGTCAGCTAGTGCTGTTTGCATTTGAGATAATCAACAAACTGTAATCAACAAACATACATACCAAAATTTACAACTTTTATTATTTTCATGAATTTGTCTGAGGTTCCTAAGTCCTCGGCTTTTCTCCGAGAACAATGGTATTTAATATATGGGAAGCAGCCAGTCCTTAATATTTGATAATTAGATTTTCCAACCTTCCAGTTAAAGTTTGACATACCAAATTGGTCATTTACAACACTAGTCTGCTAGAAAAAAGACAGCATAAGTGTAGTTTAAAAAGTTAATTTAATTGGCATTGCAATTCAATTAAATTACAGTGAGATAGACTCAATACTTCTATTTAAGTGACAATAATCTTGCAGTATTCAACTAAATGCATGTTTTCACCTAATATTTATCCAGTACCTTGACAAAGTAAGATGTCCACGGAGGTTCATTGCACTGAGTCAAATACGCTGTTAATACTTCGGAAGCCGTAGGTCTTGAGAAAAAGAATGCTACTTGATATTTTATTATGATAGTTTTACTCAACAATTTAATATTTGTTGTTATATATTTATTACGTAAACAAAGAATATGACAGGCCATGTCTAACAGCTGATTTTGACATTAAAAGTGATTTGATATACGACTAATCGAGTTTACGCAGTCAGTTACTTTTATTTATTTCTAAGCTGGCACGTATCTCGCCGTGCATCTGACAGTTTCCACAATAAATTGGGCTTTTAACGTTTAAGTGTTACTTTCAGGGATTCGACTTTCTGCACTTGTAAAATTACTCTCACATTTTAAACTTGACAAAACGTAAATTAAAATTTAATTGAATATTCTCCGAATTTCTTAAATTGTAATTTGATTTTTCGATAAATTTGTCCATCGATGTATTTTACTACTCAAGAATTTGTACTTAAAATATTGAGCCTGGTATCTATACAAATAAAGAAAGTTGAAGTGTTTGTAATGTCAAAATAATAACTTTTTCTTGCTCACACTGTTATTTGCACGCTACCGACGACGCCTAAAAACCAGTATAAATATTTTTTGTCTGTCTGTTTGTTCCGGTAATCTTCAAAACGGCTGTGACTATTATAAAGAGATGAGATGAGAGCTCTACAAATATAAAGAAAAATTGAGTCGGGTGAAATGAGTTACCTACTATTGATCGATATATCTTGTAAATAATCAATATTTTAGAATATATTTAATATTGCCATCTTCCAGTAATAATATCTACTAACACATTGGCAAAAAAAATTGTTATCTAATTCCCAATTCCTAAATTTAGCTGCTATATATCAATGTAATTTGCCAGCAAGCCATAGGGGACTTGATGTGGAACTTGGGAAGATCAGGTGGCATATCCTAGGGTTAAGTCCGAATAAAGGGAGAGGACACCATACCCCATTTTTTTAACTTGTGGACACCCCCTCGGGCCACAGGGT